ATGAGTGAGTAGTGGATAGTGAGTGAGTGTGGTTAGTGGTATGTTGTGGTAGTAGTGGTAGTAGTGGTAGTAGTGGTAGTAGTGGTAGTGAGTTGTGGTAGTAGATGGTGTTTGGTATAGTGGTAGTGTGGTAGTGGTAGGTTAGTAGTGGTAGTGAGTAGGTGGTATTTGTGGCAGTATGGTAAGTTGTTGGTAGTGTGGTAGTTGTGGTAGTGTGGTAGTATGGTAGTAGTGGTAAGTAGTGGTAGTTGGTGGTAGTATGTATATGTGGTAGTAGTGGTAAGTGTGTAGTTGTGGTGGGTGGAGGGGGTAGGTAGTGGTGGTAGTGGTAGTTTAGAATGGTATTATAGTGGGTAGTGGTGTGGTGAGTGTGGTAGTTAGTGGTAGTTGGTGGTAGTAGTGGAGTGTGGTGGTAGTGTGTAGTGTATAGGTAGTTAGTGGGTAGTGGTAGTTGGTGGTAGTGGTGGTAGTAGGGGGTTGGTATGGTAGTATGTATGTGTGGTAGTAGTGGTAGGTTAGTGGTAAGTTGGTGGTAGTGGTTGTATGGGGGTAGTAGTGGTAGTTGTGGAATGGTAGTGGTAGTGTGGTAGTAGTGGTAGTGGTGGTTAGTTGTGGTAGTGTGGTAGTGGTGGTAGTAGTGGTAGTGTGGTAGTTGTGGTAGTGTGTGGTAGTTGGGTAGTAGGTAGTAGTGTGTAGTGGAGTGGGTGGTAGTTGTATGGGTAGTGTGGTAGTGTGGTAGTGTAGTGTGGTGTGTGTAGTAGTGGTAGTAGTGGTATATGGTTGTGGTAGTTGTGTAGTTATGGTAGTAGTGTAGTAGTGGTAGTGTGGTAGTAGTGGTAGTAGTGGTAGTTGTGGTAGTAGTGGTAGTAGTATTTTGGTAGTTAGTGTGGTAGTTGTGGTAGTAGTGGTAGTGTGGTAGTTGTGGTAGTAGTGGAAAGTTAGGTGGTAGTTGGTGGTAGTATGGTAGTGTAGTGGTAGTTGTGGTAGTAGTGGTTCGTGAGTTAGGGGTAGTAGTTAGTAGGTGTGTGTATTGTGGTAGTTGTGGTAGTAGTGGTAGTGTGTAGTTGTGGTATTATTGGTAGTTGTAGGAGTAGTGGTAGTGTGGTAGTTGTGGTAGTTGTGGTAGTATGTGGTATGTTAGTGGTAGTGTGGTATGTGTGTAGATGGTAGTTGTGGTAGTGTGGTAGTGTTAGTTGTGGTAGTAGTGGTAGTTGTGGTAGTTGTGGTATGGTAGTATGTGGTAGTGTGGTAGTTGTGGTAGTAGTGGATAGTGTGGTAGTTGTGGTAGTTGTGGTGTGTGTGTAGTGTAGGTAGTAGTGGTAGTAGTGGTAATTGTGTAGTTGTGGTAGTAGTGGTATGTGTAGTAGGTAGTAGTGGTAGTTGTGGTAGTTGTGGTAGTTGTGGTAGTTGTGGTAGTAGTGGTAGTTGATGGTAGTTGTGGTAGTTGTGGTAGTAGTGTAGTGGTTAGTTGTGGTTAGTTGTGGTAGTTGTGGTAGTTAGTGGGTAGTTGTGGTAGTTGTGGTAGTAGTGGTAGTTGTGGTAGTTGTAGGTGGTAGTTGTGGTAGTAGTGGTATTGTGGTAGTAGTGGTAGTTGTGGTAGTTGTGGATTGTGGTGTGTGTAGTGGTAGTTGGTAGTAGTGGTAGTTGGTAGTGGGTAGTTGTGGTAGTTGTGGTAGTTGTGGTAGTATGTATGTGGTGTAGTTGTGGTAGTGTGGTAGTTGTGGTAGTAGGTTGGTAGTTGTGGTAGTTGTGGTAGTTTGATTGTTAGTGGGTAGTGTGGTATTGTGGTAGTGTATGGTAGTGTGGTAGTTGTGTAGTGTGGTAGTTGTGTAGTTTATTGGTAGTTGTGGTAAGTTAGTGGTAGTATGTAGTTTGGTAGTTGTGTAGTAGTGGTAGTGTGGAGTTGTATGGTAGTTTGGTAGTTGTAGTTGTGAGTTGGTATTGTAGTTGTGTAGTTGTGGTAGTAGTGGTAGTTGTGGTAGTTGTGGTATGTGTAGTGTAGATGTAGTTGTGTAGTTGTGGTAGTTGTGGTAGTATGTGGTAGTGTGGTAGTGGTAGTTGTGGTAGTTGTGGGTTAGTGTAGTGTGTAGTTGTGGTAGTTGTGGTAGTATTGTGGTAGTGTGGTAGTTGTTAGTTGTGGTAGTTGTGGTAGTAGTGGTAGTTGTGGTAGTTGGTAAGTTAGTGTGTAGTTGTGGTATTGTGGATAGTTGTGTGTGGTAGTGTGGTAGTTGTGGTAGTTGTGGTAGTATGTAGTATGGTAGTTGTGGTAGTTGTAGTAGTTGTAGGTAGTTGTGGTGTAGTAGTATGTGGTAGTTGGGTGTATGTTAGTAGTTGTGGTAGTTGTGGTAGTTGTGGTAGTTTGGTAGTTTGGTAGTTGTGGTAGTAGTGGTAGTTGTGGTAGTTGTGGTAGTGTGGTAGTTGTGGTAGTTGGTAGTTGTGGTAGTTGTGGTAGTTGTGGTAGTGTAGTTGGTAGTAGTGTTGTGGTAGTAGTGGTAGTGTGGTAGTTAGTGGTAGTTGTGTATTGTGGTAGTTGTGGTAGTTGTGGTAGTGTGGTAGTTGTGTAGTGTGGTTAGTGTAGGGTAGTTGTGGTAGTTGTGTATTGTGGTAGTTGTGTGTAGTGTAGTAGTGGTAGTTGTGGTAGTTGTGGTAGTATGTGGTGTTTGTGGTAGTTTGGTAGTTGTGGTAGTTGTGGTATAGTTGTTGGTAGTAGTGGTAGTTGTGTAGTAGTGGTAGTGTGGTAGTTGTGGTAGTAGTTAGTGTGGTAGTTGTGGTAGTTGTTGTGTAGTTGTGTAGTTGTGTAGTAGTGGTAGTTGTGGTAGTAGTGGTAGTATGGTAGTATGTGGTAGTAGTGGTAGTTGTGGTGGATTAGTGGTAGTTGTGGTAGTTGTGGTAGTTGTGGTAGTTGTGGTAGTAGTGGTAGTTGTGGTAGTATGTGGTAGTTAGTTGGTAGTATGTGGTAGTAGTGGTAGTGTGTAGTAGTGGTATGTGGTAGTTGTGGTAGTAGTGTAGTAGTGGTAGTTGTGAGTAGTGGGTTGTGGTAGTATGTGGTAGTTGTGGTAGTATGTGTATGTAGTTGGTAGTTGTGGTAGTAGTGGTAGTTGTGGTAGTTGTGGTAGTATGTGGTAGTTGTGGTAGTGTGGTAGTAGTGGTAGTTGTGGTAGTTGTGGTAGTTGTGGTAGTTGTGGTCATCAAAGGATAAATTATTATAACATTAATCATCTTCTCTCTCACTATTATTATCAAAATGTTTGTTTTTGTCTTCATGTTTTCTTCTCTCTCATTTGTTTTGTTTCTTTACTAATAATGGTCTGCTGACGTCACCGTTAACGTGACGTCATGAGATTTGTGTTGTGACGTCACTAACAACGTGTTACGTCATGAGGCTTTTCTTTTGACGTCACTACAGCGTGTGACGTCTTGAGGGTTGTCTGCTAGTATAATATTGTTTGTATTAAAGTAGACTGTTGTTAGTCGTGAGTGTAATTGTTTGTACTTGTTAAGCACATGTACACGTGTTTACGCCCTTATTGTTGTACACACGCGTGCGTGTGTACGCTCTAACAGTTGTACACATGCTGGTGTACACACGCATGTGTATTTTACACACGTATGAACATACACTCACATGCATACATACATACATACATACATACATACATACATACATACATACATACACACATACATATATATATACGTACATACATACATACATACATACATACATACAAATAACACACACATACACACAGGGGGCCAGGAGCTGAGACTCGACCCTGCAACCACAAATAAGTGAGTACATACATCTACACTCACATATGCATACATACATTCATACAAAGATACACACACACACACACACACACACATCACACACACACACACACACACACACACACACCTAGTAGCGATCAGTGAAGAGGCGGGGGGCCAGGAGCTATGACTCGACCTCTGCAACCACAGTTGAGTGCAGTTCGGTGAGTACACACACACACACACATGCACACAGACACACACACACACATACAACTACACACACACTACCACCACACTAAGAACAAACTACCACTATTCCCCCACTACCCCCCCACCACCAATCCATCGTCACTACCCCATCACCCCTACCAACATCCTACCACTACCACTGCTACCTCCACCACTAACCACCATCCACTACCACCACCACCCCTACCAAACATACCCACCACTACCACTACTACCCCACTGCTAACCATCATTACTACCACTACCACAAACCACTACCACCATTGCCACTACTACCTCTGCCACTACCACCCCCAACAATATTACCACCAGTAGTACCCCACTTCTAACACAACAACATTACCACCACTACTACCCCACCTATAATACAAGACCACGGTACTTTGACACTGCCGACACCACCACCTCTGTCTTTATCAACCACCACTACAATCATCCACTGCTATCACCACCACCAACACCACCACTGCTACTATCACCACTACCAACACTGCCACTGCTACCTATCACCACCACCAACACCACCACTTGCTACTATCCACCACCACCAACACCACCACTGCTACTATCACCACCCGCACCACCACTGCTACTATCACCACCACCAACGCCACCACTGCTACTATCACCACCACCAACACCACCACTGCTACTATCACCACCACCAACACCACCACTGCTACTATCACCACCACCAACACCACCATTGCTACTATCACCACCCACCACCACTTACTAACCCTCCCGCCACCACTACTACTACCCCCGCTAGACCCACACACTACTACTAACCCCCGCCGCCACCGCTACTACTAATCCCGCCACCACCACTACTACTAATCCTGCCACCACCACTACAACTAACCCCGCTACCACCACCACTACTGCTACCCACGCTACCACCACTACTACTATCCCTGCCACCACCACGACTACTACCCCCGCCACCACCACTACTGCCCCTGCCTCCTCTACTAACTTGCTACCACCCCCAGCTACCAGGGGAGACGCTTCTGCCTATCGACACAGCTTACACCCAGGCTCGACAGAAACTGGACCGAGCTGCCATGGTAAGTGTTACTTGATGTTGTGACAGAGAGAGAGAGAGAGAGAGAGAGAGAGAGAGAGAGAGGAAAAGGAGAGTGTGGTGGTAAAGACAAACAACAAGGAGTGAAGTGAAAGATAAACAAGCAGTGACAGACATAAACAGCAAGAAATGAGAGAGACATTAACAACAAGCATTGAGAGACAGAGACATAAACAGCAAGTAGTGAGAGACAGAGACATAAACAGCAAGTAGCGAGAGACAGAGACATAAACAAGAAGCACTGAGAGACACAGAGACAAACAACAGGCAGTGAGGGACAGAGACACAAACAAGAAGCAGCGAGAGACACAGACAAACAACAAGCTATGAGAGACATAGACATTGACGCAAACATCAAGCAGTGAGATACAGAGAAATAAACAAGCAGTAAGAAACAGAGACAGAGAGACAAACAACAGGCAGTAAGAGATAGACAATCAACAAGCCGTGAGAGACAGAGAGACAAGCAACAAGCACTTTGAGATAGAGACAGAGAGAAACAACAATCAGTGAGAGACAGGCAGATAAACAACAAGGATTGAGAGACAGAGATACAAACAACAAGAAGTAAGAGACAGAGATACAAAGAACAAGCAGTGAGAGACAGACAGACAAACAACAAGCAGTGAGAGACAGACAGACAAACAAAAAGCAGTGAGAGACAGACAGACAAACAACAAGCAGTGAGAGACAGACAGACAAACAACAAGCAGTGAGAGACAGAGATATAAACAACAAACAGTAAGAGACAGAGATACAAACAACAAACATTGAGAGACAGAAATACAAGCGACAAACATTGAGAGACAGAGAGACAAACAACAGTGAGAGACGGAAATACAAACAAGCAACGAGAGACAGAGAGACAAACAACAAGCAGTGAGAGACAGAGATACAAGCAACAAGCAGTGAGAGACAGAGACAGACAAACAACAAGCAGTGAGAGACAGAGACAGAGAGACAAACAACAAGCAGTGAGAGACAGAGACAGAGAGACAAACAACAAGTAATGAGAGACAGAGAAAGAGACAAAAAACAAGCAGTGAGAGACAGAGAGACAAATAACAAGCAGTGAGAGACAGAGAGACAAATAACAAGCAGTGAGAGACAGAGAGACAAAAACAAGCAGTGAGAGACAGAGACAAACAACAAGCAGTGAGAGACAGAGAGACAAATAACAAGCAGTGATAGACAGAGAGACAAACAGCAAGGAGTGAGAGACAGAGAGACAAACAACAAGCAGTGAGAGACAGAGAGAGAAATAACAAGCAGTGAGAGACAGAGAGACAAACAACAAGCAGTGAGAGACAGAGAGACAAACAGCAAGGAGAGACAGAGAGACAAACAAGCAGAGAGAGACAGAAAGACAAATAACAAGCAGTGAGAGACAAAGAGACAAATAACAAGCAGTGAGAGACAGAGACAAACAACAAGCAGTGAGAGACAGAGAGACAAACAACAAGCAGTGAGAGACAGAGAGACAAATAACAAGCAGTGATAGACAGAGAGACAAACAGCAAGGAGTGAGAGACAGAGAGACAAACAACAAGCAGTGAGAGACAGAGAGAGAAATAACAAGCAGTGAGAGACAGAGAGACAAAAACAAGCAGTGATAGACAGAGACAAACAACAAGCAGTGAGAGACAGAGACAGAGAGACAAACAACAAGCAGTGAGAGATGGAGAGACAAACAACAAGCAGTGTGAGACAGAGACAAACAACAAGCAGTGAGAGACAAAGACAGAGAGACAAACAACAAGCAGTGAGAGACAAAGACAGAGAGACAAACAACAAGCAGTGAGAGACAAAGACAGAGAGACAAACAACAAGCAGTGAGAGATGGAGAGACAAACAACAAGCAGTGTGAGACAGAGACAAACAACAAGCAGTGAGAGACAAAGACAGAGAGACAAACAGCAAGCAGTGAGAGACAGAGACAGAGAGACAAACAACAAGCAGTGAGAGACAGAGATAGAGAGACAAACAACAAGCAGTGAGAGACAGAGACAGAGAGACAAACAACAAGCTGTGAGAGACACAGACAGAGAGACAAACAACAAGCAGTGAAAAACAAAGACAGAGAGACAAACAACAAGCAGTGAGAGACAGAGATAGAGAGACAAACAACAAGAAGTGAGAGAGAGACAGAGAGACAAACAACAAGCAGTGAAAAACAAAGACAGAGAGACAAACAACAAGCAGTGAGAGACAGAGACAGAGAGACAAACAACAGGCAGTCATTATATTGGGTCATATTCCCATTATAGCCTCCCAAGGCACCTCAGCCAGAATGGCATTAAATATAAATTATAGCAATCACAGCACTCAGGGCCCCCTCATGACCACTCAGGGCCACTCATGGCCACTCAGGACCACTCAGGGCCACTCAGGGCCACTCAGGACCAATCAGTGTTTTTCAGGACCTCCAGGGAGTTTTATGATGCTGGCGAGGGCTCTTGATTCAAAATACTAAACCTCGCTATACCTTCCATGCGACGAACCAGATATATATATATATATACATATATATATATATATATATATATATATATATATATATATATATATATATATATATATATATATATATATATATATATATATATATATATATAACCAAGAGACATTAAGAAGAAACCTAGAACAATGTTAAGACAATCTTGGAGAAGGAGGTGGAAGGGAAAGACGAGTGCCATGTTAAGGTAGAAGAGAGAGTTACCAAGATCACTGCAGCACAGCCAGACATGGAACAGCAGTCGGTAATGGCTGACACTATCACTGCAGCACAGCCAGACATGGAACAGTAGTTGGTAATGGCTGACACTATCACTGCAGCACAGCCAGACATGGAACAGCAGATGGTAATGGCTGACACTATCACTGCAGCACAGCCAGACATGGAACAGCAGATGGTAATGGCTGACACTATCACTGCAGCACAGCCAGACATGGAACAGCAGTTGGTAATGGCTGACACTATCACTGCAGCACAGCCAGACATGGAACAGCAGTTGGTAATGGCTGACACTATCACTGCAGCACAGCCAGACATGGAACAGCAGATGGTAATGGCTGACACTATCACTGCAGCACAGCCAGACATGGAACAGCAGTTGGTAATGGCTGACACTATCACTGCAGCACAGCCAGACATGGAACAGCAGTTGGTAATGGCTGACACTATCACTGCAGCACAGCCAGACATGGAACAGCAGATGGTAATGGCTGACACTATCACTGCAGCACAGCCAGACATGGAACAGCAGATGGTAATGGCTGACACTATCACTGCAGCACAGCCAGACATGGAACAGCAGATGGTAATGGCTGACACTATCACTGCAGCACAGCCAGACATGGAACAGCAGATGGTAATGGCTGACACTATCACTGCAGCACAGCCAGACATGGAACAGCAGATGGTAATGGCTGACACTATCACTGCAGCACAGCCAGACATGGAACAGCAGTTGGTAATGGCTGACACTATCACTGCAGCACAGCCAGACATGGAACAGCAGTTGGTAATGGCTGACACTATCACTGCAGCACAGCCAGACATGGAACAGCAGATGGTAATGGCTGACACTATCACTGCAGCACAGCCAGACATGGAACAGCAGTTGGTAATGGCTGACACTATCACTGCAGCACAGCCAGACATGGAACAGCAGTTGGTAATGGCTGACACTATCACTGCAGCACAGCCAGACATGGAACAGCAGTTGGTAATGGCTGACACTATCACTGCAGCACAGCCAGACATGGAACAGCAGTTGGTAATGGCTGACACTATCACTGCAGCACAGCCAGACATGGAACAGCAGTTGGTAATGGCTGACACTATCACTGCAGCACATCCAGACATGGAACAGCAGTTGGTAATGGCTGACACTATCACTGCAGCACAGCCAGACATGGAACAGCAGATGGTAATGGCTGACACTATCACTGCAGCACAGCCAGACATGGAACAGCAGATGGTAATGGCTGACACTATCACTGCAGCACAGCCAGACATGGAACAGCAGATGGTAATGGCTGACACTATCACTGCAGCACAGCCAGACATGGAACAGCAGATGGTAATGGCTGACACTATCACTGCAGCACAGCCAGACATGGAACAGCAGATGGTAATGGCTGACACTATCACTGCAGCACAGCCAGACATGGAACAGCAGTTGGTAATGGCTGACACTATCACTGCAGCACAGCCAGACATGGAACAGCAGATGGTAATGGCTGACACTATCACTGCAGCACAGCCAGACATGGAACAGCAGATGGTAATGGCTGACACTATCACTGCAGCACAGCCAGACATGGAACAGCAGATGGTAATGGCTGACACTATCACTGCAGCACAGCCAGACATGGAACAGCAGATGGTAATGGCTGACACTATCACTGCAGCACAGCCAGACATGGAACAGCAGATGGTAATGGCTGACACTATCACTGCAGCACAGCCAGACATGGAACAGCAGATGGTAATGGCTGACACTATCACTGCAGCACAGCCAGACATGGAACAGCAGATGGTAATGGCTGACACTATCACTGCAGCACAGCCAGACATGGAACAGCAGTTGGTAATGGCTGACACTATCACTGCAGCACAGCCAGACATGGAACAGCAGTTGGTAATGGCTGACACTATCACTGCAGCACATCCAGACATGGAACAGCAGTTGGTAATGGCTGACACTATCACTGCAGCACAGCCAGACATGGAACAGCAGTTGGTAATGGCTGACACTATCACTGCAGCACAGCCAGACATGGAACAGCAGTTGGTAATGGCTGACACTATCACTGCAGCACAGCCAGACATGGAACAGCAGTTGGTAATGGCTGACACTATCACTGCAGCACAGCCAGACATGGAACAGCAGTTGGTAATGGCTGACACTATCACTGCAGCACAGCCAGACATGGAACAGCAGTTGGTAATGGCTGACACTATCACTGCAGCACAGCCAGACATGGAACAGCAGTTGGTAATGGCTGACACTATCACTGCAGCACAGCCAGACATGGAACAGCAGTTGGTAATGGCTGACACTATCACTGCAGCACAGCCAGACATGGAACAGCAGTTGGTAATGGCTGACACTATCACTGCAGCACAGCCAGACATGGAACAGCAGTTGGTAATGGCTGACACTATCACTGCAGCACAGCCAGACATGGAACATTGCTATTGAAGTAAAGAAATAAGGAGGGATTGTGTGTGTGTGTGAGAGAGAGAGAGAGAGAGAGAGAGAGAGAGAGAGAGAGAGAGAGAGTGAGAAATTTTTTTATTGATTTTGCCTGTGCAAAAAAGGGAAATAAGATCAAGAAGAGAGAGAGTATCAAAGAAGAACGAGTGACATAAAGAAGTTGATTAACTCTTTGTGAATTTATGTGGTTGAAGAAGATACATGTTACGATAAAGAAGAGTTGAAAAATATAGGAAAGAAAAGCACAGGCAGGTAAGAATAACAGTTATGCAGACATAACTTAACGAAAAATTATTAAAGGTAATAACCAAGCAGTTGACACCGTGTGAGGTTGTGTCTTCTAGACTTATCAGTGGAGGATATTGGTAAATAATGGATTTCATAAACGCTGTTATTACTATTATTATTATTATTATTAATTTATCTCTTCAAGCATTAAATCCTTGTGGATCATAATAGCGCTTGTGTATCGAGATTTAATAACATTTGTTGGCATATAGGCACATTGTACTCAGAGACAAGGAACATGTATGCTGTCAGCAACTCTCATTTATCTTCTGTGACTGATTATCTACAGTCATGCAAAAAACGCAGAACTCACCAGGTGGAGGTCACTGTTCTTCCAGTTTCCATAAAGACTGTTGTAAGCTTCAACCAGGGTACACCTGAGGAATTTCATTAGACAGAGTAACAGGACCTTAACGACTTAAATGCAAAGCATATGGTCGGCTGTATGGTCACAGACTTCAACACTATGTGCTTCATTGTCTACTAATTGAGGAATATAGAGACAAACTATACAGTATATATACATATATATATATATATATATATATATATATATATATATATATATATATATATATATATATATATATATATATATATAATATGTATGCATATACATCGTGTTGTTTCTCATAGTCATATAACCACTGTTGTCTCTCACACAGAGCATACGTGAGCTGCAGAACTCAGTTAGAGACGGTGTGTTCCTCTTCAAGGCTCTCCTTGACGAACTGAGGAAGAACATGGAGACGGAGAAACACAACATCAACACTCTTTCCGAGAACCTGCAAGAGACAGTCAGGAGGACCCAGGACAGCCTCCTGAGGGAGGTAGATGGGTGAGTCTTCAGTAGGTCACCTTCCTTCACTCCCCCACTCACCTACAGGGACCTGTCCCTCCCCCACTCACCTTCTGGGACCTGTCCCTCCCCCACTCACTTCAGGGACCTGTCCCTCCCCCACTCACCTTCAGGGCCCTCTCTCACACGCGGTCCACACACGTACGTGGTCCCAGGTCCATACACTAGCACCCTCCACACGCCCGTGCTGGAAAAATTGACACTAAAGCAGTATAATGCGATCCTTTGTTAGCTACGTTTCGCCCACACAGTGGGACTTGATAAAGCCCACTGTGTGGGCGAAACGTTGTCAATAAGGGATCGCATACTGAATTGTGACTATTTTTTTCCATCGTGACGGTATTTTATACCCCATTAACATGCTACTTCTGCGCCTCCTACAGACAGTACGACGCTAAGGACAAGCTGTTCAGGAGCCAGCTGTCGTCGCTAGGTGCACTGCTGCCCATCATCCAGGTACACCTGCTCATGTGCACCACCTTCTCATCGTCAGCCTCCAAATATGAGTTCCTGGACCTGGTCTTCCAGCTCATGGAGCGGCTAGCAGCCATAGCGCACCTCTCACACCCACTCAGGTGAGCAGGGTAGGTGTGCTGGCCGGGTAGGTAGGGGTGCTGGCAGGGAGGGCAACTGTGCTGGCAGGGAGGGTAAGTGTACTAGCAGGAAGCGTACGTGTATTAGTAGAGAGGGGGGGAGGGTAGGTGTGACTGGCTGCCTAGATTTCTGGCTGACTAGTTAGGTTACTGGCTACCTAGCTGACTAGTTAGGTTACTGGCTACCTAGCTGACTAGTTAGGTTACTGGCTACCTGGCTGACTAGTTAGGTTACTGGCTACCTAGCTGACTAGTTAGGTTACTGGCTACCTGGCTGACTAGTTAGGTTACTGGCTACCTAGCTGACTAGTTAGGTTACTGGCTACCTGGCTGACTAGTTAGGTTACTGGCTACCTAGCTGACTAGTTAGGTTGCTTGCTGGCTAGCTGGATGGCTAGGTTGCTGGTTGGCTGGCTAGGTACTGGCTAGTTGGCTGGCTAGGTTACTGGCTGGTTGGCTGGCTAGGTTACTGGCTGGCTGGCTAGGTTACTAGCTGGCTGGCTAGGTTACTAGCTGGCTGGCTGGTTGGCTAGGTTGCTGGCTAGCTGGATGTCTAGGTTACTGGCTGGCTGGCTAGGTTACTGGCTAGTTGGCTGGCTACGTTACTGGCTGGCTGGCTAGGTTACTAGCTGGCTGGCTAGCTAGGGTGCTGGCTGGCTAGTTGGCTACGTTGCTGACTGACTGGTTGATTGGCTGGCTAGTTGGCTAGGTTGCTGGCTGGCTACGTTGCTGACTGACTGACTGGTTGACTGACTGGTTGATTGGCTGGCTGGCTAGGTTACCGGCTGGCTGGCTTGCTAGGTTGCTATTTGGCTGACTAGGTTTCTGGCTGGCTGGTTAGCTGGCTAGGTTACTGGCTGGCTGGCTGGCTGCCTGGCTGGTTTGGTTGCTTGCTAACTGGCTGGCTGGCTAGGTTGCTGATTGGTTGGCTTGCTGGGTTGCTGGCTGGCTGGGTAGATTGTTGGCTGACTGACTGGCTAGGTTGCTGGCAGGCTGGCTGGCTAGGTTGCTGGCAGGCTGGCTGGCTAGGTTGCTGGCTGGCTGGCTGGCTGGCTGGCTGGCTGGCTGGCTGGCTGGCTGGCTGACTGGCTGACTGGCTGGCTGGCTGGCTGGCTGGCTAGGTTGCCGGCTGGCTGGCTGGCTGGCTGGCTAGGTTGCCGGCTGGCTGGCTGGCGTCTACCTGCCCATATTAAAGAGTGATAGCCTGGTGTGAGCTTCCTGCTGGTGGAGTCTGTTGTTTATGTGTGGGTGTGGCCCACTCATGTGTGGTGTGTGTGTGTGTGTGTGTGTGTGTGTGTGTGTGTGTGTGTGTGTGTGTGTGTGTGTGTGTGTGTGTGTGTGTGTGTGTATTACTTTTACATTTAGTAGGAAGCTCTAAACCGGCAAGGGTCAGACAGTGCCTGGGAACGGGATGCATTCAGGTTCGATCCAAGCAAGGGTAAACAAGTGTAACTCCCTTGATCAAGTGTATCCAGGAACCTTCCTTGACGGTTCCAACTTGCACAACGTTACCCCCTCTGTCTTGTCCAAGTTCATTTGTAGCCTGACTTCATTATTTCCAGTTTTCTCCATATTATTTAACATACGCTAAAAACAAGAATTCATCGGAGTATATGTCTTCAAGTATGTTGTTTATATATTCCATAAAACAATAGTGGTGGTCCCTGTACATAACCTGCTATTTTTTATGCCTCTTTCGGGGCGATCACTGTCTAAGTCACTTTAAGAATTCTTTGATTTACTGTAATGCCTTTCCTGTAATCTCTGGTCCACTGTAGTGCCTTCCCTGTAATCTCTGGTCCACTGTAGTGCCTTCCCTGTAATCTCTGGTCCACTGTAATGCCTTCCCTGTAATCTCTGGTCCACTGTAGTGCCTTCCCTGTAATCTCTGGTCCACTGTAGTGCCTTCCCTGTAATCTCTGGTCCACTGTAGTGCCTTCCCTGTAATCTCTGGTCCACTGTAATGCCTTCCCTGTAATCTCTGGTCCACTGTAGTGCCTTCCCTGTAATCTCTGGTCCACTGTAGTGCCTTCCCTGTAATCTCTGGTCCACTGTAGTGCCTTCCCTGTAATCTCTGGTCCACTGTAGTGCCTTCCCTGTAATCCTAGTCTATACCTCTAGTTGGTATAGGCTCTTGTGTGGTAGAGTATCAAATATCTTCATTTGTCTCTTTTGTTTCCTTATTAAGGAATAAAAGCAGCTTTGTGAAACAGGGTTTACTGTCTGTACCCATCCCCTCCCCGGTTAGTTTTTATGAACCCACTTCTCTCCTGGTGCCCCAACACTCGTCATTTGGTTATCTTCTCCATTACATTGTATGCATGTCAATAATTACCTTGTAGTTCAAAGCTAAAGAACAAAAAGGCACAGATACCATGACTGGAACAATACACAAATAATCTACACATAGGAGAGAGGAGCTTACGATGACGTTTCGGTCCGACTCGGACCATTCACACAGTCACACTAACACAAGAGTGAAGGAGCCAGTATTTATAGGCTCGAATTTTTTTTAAATTCTGAGACAACGTCTGCTGTCTTCACATCCACGTCTCTGACAACTATTCTGTAGCTATTGACTTGTTGGTTTTCAACTCGCTGTTTACAAAGTATTTCTGCTCCCTCTTTTAGAATCCCTGGAGAGACGTTGTTTTTAAAGTGTCCCACTCACGCAGTAGTGTCTTCACCTCCCCTCCTGCCGTGTCTTGTGTTCAGTACCTTCTGGTGTACTTTCTCTCTTTTTGACTCTAGGGTGTTGTCTCCCTCTTTCCACTGAACCAACACATTCAGTCGTTGGTTCATCTCCTTCCAGACTTCCCTGTCATTCGTTGTGAGCTCTCCTCCTACCTTCGTCGATTAGTACATGATTGATTTACCCTCGTCTTTCCTCTGATGTGGCTGTGTTGTGTTGCGGGTCAGATGTGGCTTTTGTTGCTGTTACGGTTCGGATGTGGCTTTTGTTGCTCTGTCGTTCTCAGATTGACGCTCAGCTTGTCACTCGTGCACGTGAGAGTCTCATTCTTCATTGGCTTTTCTGCTATTCTTAGTTTTATTTAAATATCTTTTCCCATGACCTTGCACACCTAGTCCGTTCTTCTCTGCATCTCTGGGTGAGCTAGAGACTCTCACTCTCTATTCTTACTATTGCCTCTTCTAAACGTGAATAACACCTTTGCCTTCAAGCGCTTTCCTTCCAGTTTCTTTTCCCACTGTACTGTATTCAGGAATTATCACGTTTTTGCTGTGCTTCTCTCCATAATTACTTCCACGAGGTACTTGCAACTCAGTAGGTAGGTCACTAGCACCTGGTGGCCTCTCATGGGTAGGTCACTAGCACCTGGAGGCCTCTCATGGGTAGGTCACTAGCACCTGGTGGCCTCTCATTGGAAGGTCACTAGCACCTGGTGGCCTCTCATGGGTGCGTCACTAGCACCTGGAGGCCTCTCATGGGGAGGTCACTAGCACCTGGAGGCCTCTCATGGGTAGGTCACTAGCACCTGGTGGTCTTTCATGGGTAGGTTACTAGCACCTAGAGGCCTCTCATGGGTAGGTCACTAGCACCTGGTGGCCTCTCATTGGTAGGTCACTAGCACCTGGTGGCCTCTCATGGGCAAGTCACTAGCACCTGGTGGCCTCTCATGGGTAGGTGACTAGCACCTGGTGGCCTCTCAGGGGTAGGCAACTAGCACCTAGTGGCCTCTCATGGGTAGGTCACTAGCGCCTGGAGGCCTCTCATGAGTAGGTTACTAGCACCTGGTGGCCTCTCATGGGTAGGTCACTGGAACCTGGTGGCCTCTCATTGGTAGGTCACTGGAACCTGGTGGCCTCTCATTGGTAAGTCACTAACACCTGGAGACCTCTCATAGGTAGGTCACTAGCACCTGGAGGCCTCTCATGGGTAGGTCACCTGTACTTGGAGGCCTCTCATGGGTAGGTCACTAGCACCTGGAGGCCTCTCATGGGTAGGTCACTAGCACCTGGAGGCCTCTCATGGGTAGGTCACCAGCACCTGGAGGCCTCTCATGGGCAGGTCACCTGTGCTTGGAGGCCTCTCATGGGTAGGTCACTAGCACCTGGAAGCCTCTCATGGGTAGGTCACCTGTGCTTGGAGGCCTCTCATGGGTAGGTCACTAGCACCTGGAGGCCTCTCATGGGTAGGTTACTAGCACTCGAAGACCTCTCATGGGTAGGTCACTAGCACCTGGAGGCCTCTCATGGGTAGGTCACTAGCACCTGGAGGCCTCTCATGGGTAGGTCACCAGCACCTGGAGGCCTCTCATGGGTAGGTCACTAGCACCTGGAGGCCTCTCATGACTAGGTCCCTAGCACCTGGTAGCCTCTCATAGATAGGTCACTAGCACCTGGTTGCCTCTCATGGGTAGGTCACTGGCACCTGGTGGCCTCTCATGGATGGGTCACTAGCACCTAGAGGCCTCTCATGGATAGGTCACTAGCACCTGGAGGCCTCTCATGGGTAGGTCACTTGCACCTGGAGGCCTCTCATGGGTAGGTCATAGCACCTGGTGGCCTCTCATGGGTAGGTCACTAGCACCTGGTGGCCTCTCATGGGTAGGTCAGTAGCATCTGGAGGCCTCTCATGGGTAGGTCACTAGCACCTGATGGCCTCTCATGGGTAGGTCACTAGCACCTGGAGGCCTCTCATGGGTAGGTCACTAGCACCTGGTGACCTCTCATGGGTAGGTCAATAGCCCCTGGAGGCCTCTCATGGGTAGGTCACTAGCACCTGGAGGCCTCTCATGGGTAGGTCATTAGCACCTGGTGGCCTCTCATGGGTAGGTCACTAGCACCCGGTGCCCTCTCATGGGTAGGTCACTAGCACCTGGTGGCCTCTCATGGGTAGGTCACTAGCACCTGGTGGCCTCTCATGGGTAGGTCACTAGCACCTGGTGGCCTCTCATGGGTAGGTCACTAGCACCTGGAGGCCTCTCATGGGTAGGTCACTAGCACCTGGTGGCCTCTCA